GGTAGACAGCAGAAGACAACTCCCCTGGAGAATTTCTTTGTTGTTTCATTGTGTGAGTCAGGATTCACTGAATTTATAAACTCAGAAACCCATACTGACAAGGTCAATTTAAACACCACCATTGATGCCCAAATGAATGGGGTTGCCATGAGATCCTTGCTGGGGCCAATTCTCACTGACATTTTTGTTGCATTCCAGGAGAATTGTGTCTTCAATGCAAATGACACCTAACTTCCCTGACCCTACATAGTTCTGATATGTAGATGATACATTTGCCATATTTGAACCAAAGCAAAGGGGAGGCGATGGCCTAGTGGTATTATCACCAGACTGTTAATCTCGGCACCAAGATAGTGTTCTGGGTCCCTGGGTTCACATTCCCCCATGACAGAATGAATTCAAATTCCACCATGGTGGAATTTAAACCCAAGGGAAAAAACAACCTGGAATTAAGAGTCTAAAGCTGGCTATGAATTAATTGTCAGGAAAAACCCATCTGGTTCACTAAAGTACTTTAGGGAAGGAAAATGCCATCCTTAGCTGGTCTGACCTACATGTAACTCCAGACTCACAGCAATGTGATTGGGAAATTAGGGATGGGCAATAAACCCTGACCCAGCCAGCGATGCCCTCATCCTGCATACAAGAATTTCCTCAATGTCTTACTGGGTTCAAATTCATGTTTGAGCAGTCAAATAAACTCTCCTTCCATAACATCCCAGTTGTGAAATTAATCAGGGAATTCTCTCCAACTGTCTACCACAAACCTACCTTCATTAGTGTCAGGATCCTTACAGTTCTTAGCAATGCGGGACTGGCTTTCTTAGTAACTTTGAAAATAGGGCTTGAGCCATTTATTCACTGTGCAAGCTTGGTGCTGATTCTGAAAAGAGCCTAATCTACCTCTACCCTGGATCTAATCTATTAATTTACCCTGGAAAGGTATGGTTTTCTAACAGTTTGAGCAACAAGAGAAGCTAGCTGTTTCATGTTGCTACTACACAATTGCAGCATGAATGCTGTTCACCACTAATAGGATGTGGCTGTCAAGTCAAAATAACATTCTGTCTATCACACAAATGAATAATTTGGTATATGAATTTCAGTGCCAGTGTGATGAAAGATATGTAACCTATGTGCCCCAAGCACTTGGAGATTATATGAAGCTCGCAAGAATGATTTATTCCAGTGAGGAAGAAGGATTCCAGTAAGGGTATAAGCCAACCATGGTTAATCAAGGAAGTTAAAGATGGCATCAACTTGAGGAAAAAAAATGTGCTAAAGGTTGGTTTCAAGCCAGAAGATAGGGAATTTTAAAAAAAACCCAAAAAATATTAAAACACACATTGAAGGCAACATAGCAAATAACATCAAAATGCACTGTAGGAGCTTCTTTAAATATCTGAAAAGGAAGTGAGAGACAAAGTGAACGTAAGGCCCCTAGAGAATGGGGCTGGGGAAGTAGTAATAGGGAATCAGGAAATGGCATAGGAATTGAATTGAATAATTTGCATCAGTCTTCACTACAAAAATCCAACAGCATTCCAAAATTACAAAATAATCAAAAAGGGGGACAGGACTCGAATGCAGTAACTATCACTGGAGAAAAAGTATTAGGGGAACTAATGTGACTAAAAGTTGGTAAGTTTGCAGACTTGATGGGTTGCATCCAAGGATATTAAAAGAAGTGGCTGCAATGAAAGTGGATGCACTGAGAATAATCTTCCAAGAATTCTTAGATTCTGGAAAGATCCCAGAGGATTGGTAAACTACCAATGTAATACCCTCATTCAAAAAGGAAAAGAGACAAAGAAAGGTAATGATAGGCCAGTTAGCTTTACATCTATATCTGGAAAATGCTAGGACAGCTCACCATCACTTTCTCCAGGGTAACTAGAGGTGGGCAATAACTGCTGGCCCAGACAGTAATGCCCTGGCCCATGAATGAATGAAAGCATGAAAAAAAAAACAGAGAAGTTGTGCTGAGCATTTATAAAGTTCTAATTAAGTCACAACTAGAACATTGTGTTCGGTTGTAGTCCTCACACCTAATAAGGAGGGATGTGAGGGTCCGAGAGTGAGTGCAGTGAAGAGTTACCAGAATATTCCAAGGACGAGGGACCTAAGTTCCAGGATTAGCTAGTAGACACTGGGGGTTGTTTCCGTTGTAGCTAAGGAGGTCAGGGAGATATGATCCACAAGATTATGACAATTTTAAATAAAGTAGACAAAGAAAAGCTATTCAAAAAGCTGATACTACAATGTTTTAGACAATACAAAAGAAGAGAATGACTCTTTGGAGTTGTGCCTATACATCATAATCAGCACCTGGGGCAATATGACAAAGAATGTATGGCACAGAACAAGGTGATTTTTTTCAGCTTGAACAGATTGTGTTTATGCCCCATATGTGAGGATGCTGTCCCTTTAAAAAGGTTATTTTGTCCTGGGTGTTTTTTGTTGCAGAGAGGTTGTAAAGGCAGAGGTAAAGAAGTGGCTGCTGCTAACAGCTCAAGTCAATAATTTAGGAGGCCTTTAGTTTTTTTTTTAAAAACAGTTGTTACAATGAAAGGGGAGCGGTCAGTTCTTGCAGATCAGGCTTTCTAGTTTTTTTTAGCTGTAGCAGTCAGAAGCTGTTTGGGTCCCAGAAGAGTTGGAGTTTCAGAAAATGATTCCTAGCTGTTACTTTCTCAGAAATCTCTCTTGGACTTTTTTCCTCCTTGATTGGAGGACTGCATGTAAGAATCTATGTCTGAATTTACGTTTTACCGAGGGGTGTGTTTATAGGATGTTACAATATTGGAAACAGTTAATTAGCAACAGGTACTGTGTCTATTATTCAGTTAAGTTTTCCAATAGTACTTATTCTAAATTCCTCTTTCTTTTGTTGGTATTTTAACTGTCGTGTTTAAATAAATTGTGTTTTGCTTAACATCGAGTAGTTTGACCAGTTGCATCACATCTCGAACACGCACTTCACATCTACCTTTAAAATAAAAAAAAGTTAGGGTCTAGGCTACCTTCTTAAATATTTGAGGGGATCTGGTCTGGTCCATAACACATATAGGTCTCAACTGATTTGTCTTCAAACCACAATAACTTTTCCCTATATATTTTTCTCACTTTGTTTTCCTAGCTACATACGTGGTTAATCTGTGGAATGCTCTGTCTAAAATATTGTGCTGCATACAGATTTATTAATAGCCTTCAACAGAAAAATAATCAAAGGAGAAAAAAAAATTCAAAGGCATAGAGATAAAGTGGAATAGAACTAAACTGTTCTTTGGTAGAGCCAGGCCTAATGGTCTGAAGTTTGTCCTTTGGTACTGTTGTATGATTAGCTACTCCTGTGGAAGTGAGTTCCATAGCCACACTCTCAGCAGCAAAGCATGAAGCCTCACTTCCCATGTTCCAGTTTAGATAGCAGCTGGAGCTGACATGACAAATGATGACTTTTCTAGACACTTCTTTTTCCAAAAATCCCTGCCATTAATTTCAGCTAAAATTAAAATATTACATCTTATGACACACCTGTCTATCAGAATATCTGAAATGAATGTTTTTATAGTCTGGATAAAAGGTTACATTTTTTTAGTTTGTTACTGAGTGAAAATGCCTTTGTCTGAATATTGAATCTGCAAACTATAGGTGACTAAATCCTGGGCGGCAGATAGCTACAAAGTGCAAGCAACCTGACCTTTCACAAGTGTGTTCATGAAAAGAATTGGGAATAATTAGCAATGCTAATAAAAGAGGAGAAAGATGGCAGGTGGAGAATCCCAGCCCTGTACAGTCTGTTAGATATACCAGCTACTTTGTCATTTCCTTTTGTTCATTTTAGAATTGGTTATTATTCATTACGTATCTGAAATGATATGGGTGTTTTCTACATTAAAACGTGTGACATAGATGCAAGTTTTGAATGTAACACGAACTGTTTCCACAGTGCCTACATTTCGCTTGTCCACTTTTTTCCCCCTAATTCAAGGTTCTAACGAATGTAGATAAACTGATAAATAATGAACACTTTGACAAACTCATAAATATTGAAATGAAACCAGGGACCAGCGTTGAACAGAACAGAGAATAATATAAGAGATAGTAGGAACTGCAGATGCTGGAGAATCTGAGATAACAAGGTGTAAAGCTGGATGAACACAGCAGGCCAAGCAGCATCATAGGAGCAGGAAGGCTGACGTTTCGGGCCCAGACCCTTCATCGTTTGGAAAAGATTGAACAGGGAAATTATGGAGACAACCAATGTTAGAATCAAGGGGCAGTTAAAAGAGGAAGCCAAGAAATTTGATAGAATGTGACAGTTTGGGTGAGGGTTGCAGTCAGCGAGAAGGAGAGGCTAGATTTAGCATGAGGGAGAGAGTTACGGAGACAGTTAGTGTGATAGGGATCAAAGGTTGTATGAATGGCATTGTACTTGTGCAAGAGATTAGAAAATTAAGCAGGAATGTGTAGGAAATTATAATTTGAATTTTGTGATAACAATGCGGGTGAAGGAAACACTGGAGCATGAGGAGGACAGAAACACAGAGTTTGACATTTGTGTCCATGCTTGCTCTCTGCAACACAACTTACTGAGAGGTGAGGGAGTTGCTGGAGGAGAGGAAATTGCTGGGAAGAGAGGGTGATGAAGTTGCTGTAGGCTGAGGGGGTTGCTGAAGGAGGAAGAGTTGATGGAGATGGTCAGAACTGCCAGAGGCAAAGAAAGTTGCTGGAGACAGAGGAAGAGGGAGTTGCTGGAGACTAAGGGGATTGCCAGAGGAGAAGTTGTTGCTGGAGGGAAATGGTGAGAATTGCCAAAGACCAAGGGAGTTGTGGAGGGAGAGGGTGAGGGACCTGTTGTATCCCTTAGTGGATGAGATTCCACTCAATGGTTGAGTAGGCAACAACAGTGAAACACAAGAGGGTTTTTGTCTAAGTCCCGTGAAACATGACAATTAAATGAAGAGAATGTTTCTTGTTACATGATTCCTGTATTTCACCTTTAATTATGTTTGCAACTCAGGCTTACAGTTTGACATGGCATCGACAGGTTATTATAAGTTGATTCACTAGTCCTACAACTGCTTGCCCAGAATTTCACTTCAGGTTGTTGACACAGTAGATACAATACATAAGTTACATTAGACACAATCTCCAGATATAACACAATGATGTTTAGAAGGTCTCTGATCCTTTATGAATATTTAGAGTTTGAAATCTTTTTCCAAAGCAGGGTTTTGATGTTGTTTAACAGCAAAGAATGATGAACCTCCATCTGCCTTGCCAACCCATTCAGTCTCGTGCAGATCTGGAGGTGTTTCTGTAATTCATCTCTGAAATCGTTGGGTGCCCCATATAACAAGTACTCCTGTAGTAAGCCACAAATCTTGGCCAGATTTGGTTGTATCAGTTCAGTATTGCATTGCTTCACTAGTTTGTCACAGGTTGCTGTACAATCTTTCCCATGTGTGCAGTCCGTGTTATGCTCACAATGGCGTCCTTTATAGAATCCTTTAAGAGTCATTTCTGTCACCACCATCCTTAAGTTCACCATTTTAAAATCATACTTGTCATTGTAGCCAATGTTACCTGGGTCCGTGTCACAAATGTAAAAGCTGCCATATGTGCCATGAAAAATTTCCTCCACAAATTCCAAGAGACCAATGGTAATTTCTGCTCTCTGTGGCCATGCTGGAGCAAACCATTGGTTCAGGCTCTTCTGTACTAGTGAGGGCAAAACTACATCAAGGAAACGTGGCAGCTTGAGGCTGTAAAGTGAGTGGTATGGGATCTTCTCAGTAACATACAGGTCTCCACAGTAGCCCAGCAACTGCGCTGTATGTTCCTTTTCATGCAGAGAAACAATCAGTAAAAACTCGTTGAGCTGAAGTAAGGCCCAGATGGATTTTGCTTCAGCTAAGGACACCTTGTTGTCCTGGTTGATATCTGCCATGCTGATTATTCTGTTGACAAGATTTCCAAGTGATTGCTGATCTCCAAGACTAGACTGAAAAAATGAGAATGTTATGAGTGTCAGCAATATTGGAATCCTGCATAAAGCCCCAAGGTCAGTACAGCTGAAAGATAAGCACAGAATTGGGGAAATCTCCTGAACAAAGTAATGACAGAAATTTGGTGAGTGTGTGATTTTTTGATAAAGAATAGATGGGAAGTACAGACATTTTAATAGTTTGAAACTGCAAGCCAATGGCATTTAATAGTTAATGAGCTGTAAGTAGTTGTCTGTCCTAGGTATCAATTATTGTAACTGGCATTTGTTAGAACAGTTGATGTCCAAGGGGATGACAGGTTATCCAGAATGTGGAGGAATATAGTATCGAGGTTAAAATCAAATCAAACAAAGAGCAATACAGTACAGGAACAGGCCATGTGTCCCACCAAGACGGTGCTGACATGTTTTTATTTTATAAAGGTAACCTTTTGCTTCTACGCAGTCCATACCACTCTATTCCCTGCCTATACATGTATCTTCAAGATGCCTCTTAAACATTGCTATTGCATCCACCTCCACCTCCTCTGGCAGTGCATTCCAGGCACTTACCACTCTGTGTAAAATACTTGACTCTCACATCTCCTTTACCTGTTTCAACTTAAACCTATGTCCCTGTGTAATTGGCATTTCTACCTTAGGAAAAAGACTTTAACTATCCATTCTATCCATAGCTCGCATAATTTTGTAAACTTCTATCAGGTTGCTGCTCATCTTTCAGCATTCAAGTGAAAACAACCCAAGTTTGTCCAATTTCGTCTCATTGCTAATGCCCTCCAAACCAGGCAACATCCTGGTAAACAAAAAACAGAAATTTCTGGAAAAACTCACCACATCTGGCAGCATCTTTGGAGAGAAAGCAGAGTTAATGTTTCAGGTCCAGTGATCCTTCTTCAGAACTGAACCAGTTAACTCTACTTTTTCTCCACAGATGCTGCCAGACCTGCTGAGTTTTTCCCAGCAATTTCTGTTTTTGTTTCTGATATCCAGCACCCATAGTTCTTTCAGTTTTTTTGTTTAACATCTTGGTAAAACTTTTCGGTACCATCTCCAAAGCCTCCACATCCTTCTGGTAGTGTATACACCAAATTCAAAATTTGGTCTAACTAAGGTTCTATACAGCTGCACATGACTTGCCATTTTTATACTTAATGTCCCAAACCATGAAGGCAAGCATGCCATATAGCTTCCTGACCACCTTATCCATTTGTGTTGCCACTTCCAGGGAACTGTGGACTTATACACTTATATCCCTCTATATGTTGATGTTACTCAGGGTTCCGCCATTTACTATATACTTCCCTCCTGTAGCAGACCTTCCAAAATACATTACCTCATATTTGTCCAGATTAGACTTCATCTGTCCATTTCTCTGCCCAAGTTTTCAGCCTCCCTGTGTCTTGCTGTATCCTCTGTCAGTCCTCCTCACTATCTCAGCTCTCCCAATCTTTGTGTCATCTACAAACTTACTAATCAGGACACCTACATTCTCCTCCAAATCATTTATATATGTTACAAACAACAGGGATCCCATCACTCATCCCTGTGGAACACCACTGGTCAAAGATTTCCAGTCAGAAAAACACCTTTCCCCCACTACTGTCTGTCTTCTATGACTAAGCCAGTTCTGTATCCATCTTACCAGCTCACTGTGGATCCCATGTGCCTTCATCTTTTATATCAACCTGCCATGAGGGACCTTGTCAAAGGTCTTGCTAAAGTCCATGCAGACATCATCTAGCACCCTGCCCTCATCAATGATCTTTGCCACTTCCTCAAAAAACTCAATATGGTGTTGAGATAGAGGATCAGCCAGGAACATACTGAATGACAGAGCAGGCCTGAAGGGCCGAATGGCCTACTCCTGCTCATAATCTTTCATTCCCATCTTGAGGCAGAAGACAAAGTCAGTGTAGAAAAAGTGGAAGCTTGATGCCTACCCCAGGGGTACATACTAATATTCTAAATATTCTAACTAATATTCAAAGTGGCTGAAGATACACACTTCTTTTCTTCTCATTTTGTTTCTTTTTATTACTTTTTCCCTAACAGCAGTCTATCCCAAAACAATGTCCAATTCTGAGCTCCACACAGAAGGGCACTAACCAAAGATTCAAGAATCTTAATGAGGAGTAATGAACATTGAATTAAAATTTGTGCATGAATTTAAACTTTGCCAATATGAATGTGGGGAGATTGACCGTAGCAATCAGTCCCTGATTTCACAGTCTGCAATAAAAATTAAAGTCATAATCCTCACTGGGATCAGATTTGGGGTGGGGAGTTGGGGGAATGGGGTTGCAGGTTCTTCAGGGAGTATAGAGGATTCACCTTGTGTGCATCCTGGAAGCAGTTGGGACGATGTGGGGTTTCCGCAAGTGTTGCCAAAGAGTTCAGTGATGTTCAGGGGAAACAGAATTGTTGGGGGGTGGGTGGAAGGGTATGGTGGTTGCAGTTCAGGGGAGGGGCAGGGGCAGGGGGTTCATTGGGAGTCATTCACTCAGAGGGATTAGACATTCACTGGGCAAAGGTTGCAAAGAAAGGGGTTGGGGATTTATAATGAAATACTATTGAACCAACCTTCAAGAATGTCAACAACATCTCCTTGAATTCGTCCATTGAGGTCCCTCTGGTTGGTTTGTCAAACAATATAAGGTCCTTCCGAGGTAATGTCTCAGGATTGAGATCCACTCTGAAGGCTTCTTCTATCCCACACTTGATAATAACCTCCTTATTTCTCCAGATTCCACCATAAACCTGTGGGGGTAAAACATGGCAACATGCTGAGACGTATAGATAGAGTTGATGGTAGTTGTCTTTTCTCCAAAATGAGGAATTTCAAGATTAGGGAGCACATTTTCAAGATGAGAGGAGGGAGATTTAAAAAAGACGTGAGGCAATTTTTTTTATACAGAGGGTAGTTCACATGTGGAATGAACTTTCTGACAAAGTGGTGGATGTGGGTACCGTTACAACGTTTAAAAGATATTTGGATGGATACATCAATATGAAAGGTAAATGGGACTAGTTTAGTTTGGGATTATGTTCAATAACTTTAGTGACTAAGCATCTTCTCCCATGTCCATATCCCAACACCTACACACCAGGCCTTATGATCACATGGACTGCTACCACACCATCCCATTAGCAGCTATTGATTCTCCCAGGATGACTTTTATCCATTCCTCCATGGCAATGGCCTAGTGTATCACTAGCCTATTAATCCAGAGACCAGGTAATGTTCTGGGGAACGGATTTGAATCTCACTAAGGCAGATGGTAGAATGTGAATTCAATAAATTCTGGAATTAAGAATCTAACGATGACCATGAAACCATTGTCAATTGGCGGAAAATCCCATCTGGTTCTCTAACATCCTTTCAGAAAGGAAACTGCTGTCCCTCCCTGGTCTGATCTACATGTGACCCTAGACCCAAAGCAATGTGGTTGATTGTCAACTGTCCTCTGGGCAATTAGGGATGGACAATGAATGGTGGCCTGTCCAGCGACACTCACATCCTGTAAAAATTCCTTTTTCTGTCCAATTGTTGTTCCCTTTCTCTGGGCTTCATCTCTACATATTGTTTACTCCTCCCCACATACAGATTGTAAATCAGTGAGGGAATCAGAGTTTATAGGGAAAAAACAGGAAAGTTAAGTTTAGGATGATCAGATCAGCCATTGGAGCAGATTTGATGGTCTGAATAGCCTACTTCTGCTCTTACATCTTATGGTCTTATATGTACCAATGCTTTCCTAGCTACAATCAGTTCTGAAGAATGGTCACTAGACCTGAACCATTTCTCTCCATGGATGCTGCCAGACCTGCCAAGTTTTCCCAGCAATTTCTGTTTTTGTATCTACAAGGCACAAGTCAGGAATGTGATGGAATACTCCCCACTTGCCTGGATGAGTGCAGCCCCAACAATACTCAAGAAGCTCCACACCATCTAGGACAAAGCAATCCGTTGATTGGCACCACATCCACAAGCATCCACTCCCTCTACCACCGACGCTCAGTAGCAGCAGTGTGTACTATCTACAAGATACACTGCAGAAATTCACCAAAGATGCTGAGACTGCACCTTCCAAACTCAAAACCACTTCCATTTAGAACGACAAAGGCAGCAGATACATAGGAACACCACCCCCTGCAAGTTTCCCTCCAAGCCACTCACCATCCTGACTTAAAGGCAGTAAGTGTAAAACCACTCTTTATGGAGAGAGGAAAAGGGAGAATGGAGAATTACAAATTTGTTAGTCTGACCTGTGGTAAGAAGAATGTTCAAATGTATTATAATGAATGTAGTAACTGAACATTTCAAATAAAATGGTAAAATTGGGCGGATGGATTTCAGAAAGGGAAGTCGGGTTTGACAAACTTGAATTTTTTGAGGAAGTTACTTGCTGCATGGACAAATGAGAACCAGTGGATGTGGTGTATTTGGATTTTCAGAAGGGTACTGTACTGTAAAGGTGGTTAGCAAATAAAATTACAGCACGTGGGATTGGGGAATATACTGGTCTGGACTGAGAATTGATTAGTGGACAGAGGGCAGACAATAGGAGCAAATGGGTCATTCTCAGGATGGCAGGCTGATATGAGTGGGTTCCACAGTGGTCAGTGCTGTGGCCACAATCTCAATCAATGATTACAATGTGGGGAGAAATTGTCATATCTCTAAATTTACCAAGCTGGCTGGGAACATAAGTGGTAAGAAGGGTGCAAGGAGGCTTCAAACAGACCTGGGCAGGCTGATAAAATAGGCTAGAACATGGGAGATAGTATAAAATGTGAATAATTATGAACTTATTCACTTCGACGCAAAAAAAACAGAAAGGCAGAATTTTCTTAAATAGTGAGATGGTTGGGAAGTGTCTAAAGGCACTTGGGTGTCCATGTCAATGAAATTTACAATGTAGTTGAAAGTAGCAATTATGAAGCCAAATCATATCCTGGCCTTCATTTCAAAGGGGTTTAAATATAGGAGTAAAGTTGTCTTGCTGCAGTTGTATAGAGCATTGGTGAGACCTCCCTTGGAGTATTGTGTGCAGTTTTGGTCTGCTCATGTAAGGAAGGATATACTTGCCAGAAAGGAAATGCCCAAAGTCAAATATGTAGACCAGGTACTGAAGGCAAAAGGTCATCACTCAAATTCCAAAAAGGTGAGTGTTATAGCAGTATACGACAACCACCAGATATAAAAGCAATGCAACGATTTATTGGAATAATCAACTCTTTTGTAAAATTCTTGTCCAATTTGTCTTTGTAGATGAACCATTCAGCCAGCTAACTGCCAATGACATGCAGTGATATTGGGGCACAGAAAAAAGCAGCATCCAAATAATCTAAAAGATAGTGATAGCAATGCCAGAGCTGAAATACTTTAACATAAATGATGAGGTTACCCCACATTGTGACAACACTTGGAGCAACTGTCATGCAGCAAGAACATTGGGTTGTATTTGCGTCCAGGGGACTAACACAAATGAAACAAAGTGATACTCAGATTGAGAAAGAATGCCTGGCCACTGTCTTTACAGACACTTTCAAAAATACCTACTTGGAAAAGAAAAAGTGACAGGGAACTCCAACTACAAGCCACATCAAAGCATTTTCCTCAGGCTACTACTATGTCTTCCAAAGTATCTGGAAAGAATGTAACACTGGTTTCAGTGATATCATCTGGGCATGACATGCAAGCAAGGGGAAAATACGTATATTGCTGAGCAGCACTCGCTATGTAGAAAGTAGAGCGTGCTGTGTCAGATCCAATATAGAACTACAACTCGACATGCTCTGGAAATCATCAACTCAGTACAGACATTGAAATGAATGTCTTGCTTAAATCACGCAAAATGCCCAAGATCCAACTCTCCAAGTGTTACAAGAAGTAGCGATGAAAGGATGGTCTGAAAGCATCAAGGAAACTCCTTGAATCACAAAAGCATATTGGGAATATAGAGATTCATTGGCATGTATAAAGACAATAGAGGCAGACTCCTAAAGGAATTAAACATAGATCATAACACAGGATTAGGCCCTTCGCCCACCATGCCTGTGCCAACCATGATGCCAGTCTAAACTAATCCCATCTGCCTACACACGGTCCATATCTCTCTATTCCCTACCAGTTCACGTGTCTGTCTAAATGCCTCTTAAACATTGCTATCCTATCTGCTTCAACCACCTTCCCTGGCAGCGCATGCCAGGCAGCTTCCACCCTCTATGTAAAAAACATTTCTTTGCATTTCTCTTTAAACTTTTCCTCTCTTACCTAAACTTATACCTCCCAGTATTTGACATTCCCAACTGAGAAAAAGACTCGGACTATCCACCCTATACATACCTCACATAATTTTATAAACTTCTATCAGGTCGCCCCTTAGCCTCTGACAGTCCAGTGAAAACAATCCAAGTTTGTCTAATCTCTCGTTGTGGCTAATACACTCCAATCCAGGCAACCTGGTAAACCTAAATAAAAACCGAAAGAACTACGGATGCTGTAAATCAGGAACAAAAACAGAAGTTGCTGGAAAATCTCAGCAGGTCCGGCAGCATCTGTGAAGAAAAAATCAGAGTTAATGTTTCGGGTACGGTGACCAAAGGGATTTTGAACCTGGTAAACCTCTTTGCACCCTCTACAAAGCCTCCACATCCCTTCTATAATGTGGTGATCAGAACTGCACACAATGCTCCAAATATGGCCTTAACTGAAGTCTTAAACAGCTGCAAAATGACTTGCCAACTTTTTACTCAATGCTCCAACCAATGAAGGTAAACATGCCATATACCTTCTTTACCACTTTAACAACTTGTGTGGCCACTTTCAGGGAGGTATGGACTTGGCTTATAATCCTCTTCTAGGGACCTGCCACTTAATGTTTACTTTCCCCTTGCAACTGACCTTCCTAAATGTATCACCTCACACTTTTCCAGATCAAACTCCATTTGCCATTTCTCCACCCAACTTTCCAACCAATCTACATCCTGCTGTATCCTTTGATAACCTTCCTCACTTTCCACAACTCCACCAATTTTTGTGTCATTTGTAAACTTACTAATCAGACCAGCTACAGTTTCATCTAAATCATTTATTACAAACAGCAGGGGTCTCATAACTGATATTTGCGGAACACTGGTCATAGACCTCCAGTCAGAAAAACACCCCTCCGCAACTATCTTCTGTCTTTGATGCCAAATCCATTATATATCCAATTTGACAACTCACCATGGATTTCATGTGACTTAATCTTTTGGACTAGACTACCACGAGGGACCTTGCCAAATACATTGGTAAAGTCCATGTAGACAACATCCACTGCCCTCTCCTCAACAATTATCTTTGGCACTTCCTCAAAAATTTAATCAAATTTGTCCCTAATAAATCCATTCTTCTCCAAATGCGAGTAAATCCTGTCTCTAAGAATTTTCTCCAATAATTTCCCTACCACTAATATAAGGGTTCACCAGCCTATAATTTCCTGGATTATTCCTGTTGCCCTTCTTAAACAAAGAAACATCATTGGCTACTCCCCAATGTTCTGGGACCTTGCCTGTGGCTAAAGAGGATACAAAGATCTCTGTCAAGGCCCTATTAATGTCCTTCCTTGCCTCCTTCAGTATTCTCGGAAAAGTCCCATCAGGCCCTGGGGACTGACTTACCTTAATATTTTTCAATACACCCAACACTTCCACCTTCTTAATATTGACATGCATCAGAACATCCAGATATCCCTCCCTAATATCATAGAAAA